TTTTTTTTTTTTTTTTTTTTTTTTTATCCGAGCCGATCGATTGCTCGACCTTCGACTCGACTTCTCGAATCGAACAAAGTGGAAGAAAGTTGTCGTCGCCATTTCTTTTTTTTTTTTCTTTTTCCTTTTCCCTCTCCCTTGGATTCGTCGCCTCTTCGTTCTTCATACGCATTCCCGCGTAATAATAATCTTGTATAATCGAGTCGTTATGTAACGATATGTGTGTGTGTATAAAAAAAAAAAGAAGAAAAAGAAGAAGAAGAAAAAAGGACAATTAAAGAATATATATATATATGATTGGCGCGAAGACAATCACGACAAGAGATCGTTATTTTTTTCTTCATACCTCTCTCGTTATTTCTACTTGTTATGGATCGTTTGTAATTCACTCGTATGTATATTGTTATTATTATCCTGGCCGTAATTCCATCCTATAAAGTTATTTCTATCAAGAATTATTGTAACAATTTGCAACAGGGATTTAATGCGATATTGGCATTTTTTTTTTTTTCATCATTATTATCGATCGTGCGCGTAATTATTCAATGATATAAAAGAGAAAAAAAAAGATTGCAAAATCACGAGATTACATCGTCGATACATTATTGTCGATCCTTCGATTTTCCACCACGATTTCGAAAGCCCTAAATTTTCCGCTCTGATTCGAATCTCGAGCACCTTGAACGATTTTCAATTTCTCCCCTCCCTGAATCGCTTTGGCGCATGACAAATGGCGTTTCGAGGATTTCCGTTTCCCCGATTAGAACGGTCGTTCAGACGTATCCATCCGCGCCTGTTAATCGACAGATCCTGCTGGACCAGCAAGGATACGGCTGGAAGGAATCTTGAGGACTCCTGGAATCGATTCTAGACGATAGAGCCCATATGGACGGGGGCCCCCTCTTCTCTCAATGGCGTTTCGCTCACGTACGGGACACGTGCACGGAGTCAATGACGAGCAGAAAGAAAGAAAGGTGTTGGTTATATGTATATATATAAGATTGCTTTTTCGAATTCTTTAATCGTTTCTATTTCGATTTTGCGCGATCGAGAAACTTTAAAAGTCTTATCGTATTTGAGTTGGAGTGACGCTCATTTTTTCCAAGATGCGGCGACGATTAATTAAAATTTTTCAACGATTCTCTCGTATTTTTTCCATCACTCGACTTGCTCTATATCTTGTTATTATTCCATTGAAATTTGATCTCCACGTGTAACAGCGTGAATGAATTCGAATCGATCGATCCCCTTGACCGATCAAGAATTATCATAATACGCGCAAACGTGGCATTTTATACAGAGAGAGAACTCTCTATAAAACCTGCTTACTTAATATAAATATATTAATCCACAATTTTCACACTTTAGACAGGGAATTAATCAAAGAGTTTAAACATCCTCGATGACCTCAATTCATTCTCTTAGATAATTAGATGTACATACACGATATAGAAACGTAAAGGAGAGGATAAAAGAATTTCAATCGAAGAGTTCCTCTTTTTTTTTTTACCTTGAACGAGCTCAAGCTCGAAATAGTTAATCGTTAAAATGATTGCTCGATTTGCTCGAGGATCTCCTGGAAACGGTACCGAACGTTAGATTCGCGAGAGAGAGAGAGAAAGAAAGAGGAATGGTTAGAGAGAAGCGAGTTGGAGAGTCACGCAATTAGTTTTCATTGCGACAAAGCCGGGTATATATCAGTGCGAAAGGCATTGAAGGGGGCCTTGCCACGGCCTGCACTTCCGCGTATCAGCCTGCCGCTATCTTGTCTCGCGACGTATCTATAAGCGACAAACAACGGACAAACTCGGCGCTCGTTTTCTCCAAGACACCGGCAAATCGTCATCAATGCAATCATCGTATCCAGAAAATAAGGAAAAGTTGGCGCGCGCGATTATCTTCGAGCGATTTCTTCTCGGTATGCAGACAAGCAAGAAGCGAAAGAAGGGGAAGAACTTTGCGTTTCTTTCCATTCTCGAAAAATGCATTCGTCCGAATGCATCCTATGAACATCGAAGGAGAATTTTCTTAAAAGGAAAATTGTTCGTTCATTGTCTAGTTTCAAAGTTAAATATCTTTATATTCCATACCGAATATAAATAGAAGAATCGATGTGACAAATAATAGTCTCGAAATACCCTGAATGATTGTTTTCTACAATCTTAATAATCGTTATCGAGTTTTTCGTTTGTTTGATTTGAACGCAAAGTTCCACAAAATTATCAATTAATTACCCTCACAATCCTCGCACAATTCTCGAACAAACACGAAAACAGAATACCATACCATGATATAATACCTCCTCTCGAGATTCTTTTTTTTTTTTAACGAACCAACCAAAATTATTCGCCCCAGAGAGCACCACGTGTATTCACACGCGTGTTCGGCAATTTCTCCTAATTGCCTTATTAACGCCCCTCCTCCTTCCGTCCCTTCGTGCCGCGAGGGGAAAAAAGAGAAGAAAAAAATGGTACAATCAGAGCGCGGATACAAATTATGCGCGCGCGCGCGTGCGTGCAAAAAATTACGCGCCACTTTTTTTCTCTCGATCGCCGAAACGATCGATCAACGCCACCGCCCCTCCTCTCCTCCCCTCCTCTACGAGTACGACTCCAGGGATAAACGGATCCCGAGTTACGTTCGTTTAACGTGCGTATTATTTTTTTTTTTTCTCGAGAGAGAAAGAGAAAGAGAGAGAGGAGGAGGAGGAGGAGGAGGAAGAGCGTGGAATCGATCTCGTGGAAGCCAGGTTTTTTACCTGGAAACGCCGCTAACGCCGGCACGATTTAAAAGGAATAATCGTTCGTCCTTTGTGCCGAAGGTCTACACCAGAAACGCGCGTGGCATAAGGGGACACGTGGAGGCATACGTGGCCGCCTTCGACAAGCACTGGAACCTCGCGCTCGAGGACTGCTTCGAGATTTGGACGCGTAAAGTGAAGAGGAAAGCACCTGCTCTGGGTAATTTTTTCTTTTTATTTTTGGATTTAATTAGAACGATCGGTCTGATGAATTTAGTTATGCTTCGCTATATGATGGATGTGGTGTATTTCGAAATGTGGAAGGAGACAAGTTGTGGGACGGATTGTGTTCGAAGGGTCTAAGGTTAATTTGTTTTTCCTTTTCTTCTTTCTCTTCCTTTTCGAAGATACAAATTTGTTAAATTCGTTTTACAACACTTTTTTAACAACGAATTTATTCAAAAATTTGAATAATTACGATACGAAGCGTTGGAAATATTGGTTATCTTTGAAATTAAAGGCATAATCAATAATTATATATAAAACGTAGAAAATGTAGAATTGGAAAACATGTTTCAAGGCAATGGAAATAAGTAAAACGATTATCCTTATACGTGTTAATTATTACAAATATCTATTTGAAACGTCAATATTTTAATAAAACAAAAGTTTGTTACGTTACGTTATCGCGTCGATTATGAAAAACTCACGATAAACGTACAATGAAAAATCGATGCGATAAACAATTCGAGATATTCAAGATCGATAACGATATTTCTCTTTCTCTCTCTCTCGATAGCAAAGAGGGAACATCTGCGATGAATCAGAAATCATTGGGAGATGCTAATGCTACGCGCGGTCTATAAAAAGCGGTTGAAAGCTGTAACCTCCGACATTTGTAACGTGGCCGCCTCTTTGCCGTGATTCCGCGGATACGGCCCTGGAAAAATTGAATCTCTGACAGCCGCTCAAGGCCATTGCCTTGCCGAGGAATTCTAAACAATGTCGTGGGTTCAATGAAAAGTCGAATAGCCACAACTAAAAACTATTCGGCCTTCTCTTTATACATTCCTCTTTTTTTA